ACGTCCAGACAAAGATTTGAGAAGAACATCACTTCTCTACCGGGCACAGAACTTCCTCAGTCATCATATTGAATCCTGATCTTCGGTTTTAGCTTGAGATATAATACATATCAACAGTTCTTAGTCATCAAGTCGGAATCTACTATTTCATAGTACTGCTAAGCGTGAATTTATATTCATACCCACTAGCTATTGAACGTTTCACAGCGATGATTTACCTAGACATCTTGTGAAATGATTAGAGTATGATTAAGTTTTGTTGCACATCGGAGTTCGTCCTCGCTCGAAAAACCTGCAGCCATATCACTAGTTAGCTTTCCAGATCTCATCATAACTTCCACCTACACCTGGGTTATCGTTGTTTGGGGCAGCGATTCTGTCCGGCCCACCCGCAAGAATGAGCTAGAACTCTTCCTCCGCTCAATCGGCTTTAGTACTACCTTTGCGGTGCCTGTCATTTTACCTTAGAGTGATATAGCTGCGGCACTTCAATGCAGACCATGGCCCTAGTCTTTCATTCTGGCAGTCTCGTGGTTAGAAGAATCAGCATACCCAGAAGTCAGCCTAGTGATTATCTCACAAGGTAGCCGTCATCTTGCGTTCTAGACCCTCACTAGTTATAATCAGTAGGTAGGTTTTGTTGCAAATCGTAACATTTGCCAAGTTTTTAGATCTGTCATGATATTTGACCTCTCAGGCTTAATTGAAAGAGCAACTGGTTGACTTACTCCCAACATCTCGAATGATTGGACCCAAGGGGTAGTTAAGCTTCTTCTGAACCTTCGCCGGTACTTCCGTTCCAGACCTCCGAACTCATCTCTAGACAGGACGGTAAACATCTTTTGTTGCACATCGACATCCTGACATGTGAAATACAGAGCGGCTCGCACGGCGGCTCTGAATCTATACCTTCCCTTTCTAAGATAAATTCTGTCTCTTCATAGTGTCACCAGCCTCATTGTCAAAAATTTAGTAGCTTCGTCTTGACCTAGACCATTTTCTGCACAGCTATAACTTTTTGTTGCACGTCTTACGCGTGTGGCGTAATAATTTGAGCGTCATTCAACCTCAATCGTATAAGTTGGTATTCTGTAGATAACTCTAACTCCTTCCATCATATTATTGACTTTATGTTGCATGTCGCACTCGGTGGCAATCGCTCGATCGTCAGAGATGTCAAGAATCGGATCTTTCGTTTTATGCGAGGTAAAATGCTGTTGGATTGGAAGCAAGAGCTCTGCTTTTCTTGATTAACTTCGGTCTTTTCGGGTATAATCAGCCTCATTTTGATAATTCCGGTAACTTTGTCTTCGATCTAGATCATTTTCTACCACACTTCACCCTTTTGTTACATGTCGCACTAGGTCGCGATAAACCTTGATCAATTTGAGCTAGCAAGACCCAGTCTCATCGATGAGTTCGACTTTAAATGGGCTTCAACTGCAAATAGAAGCTCGTGTAGATGGCAGCTTCTTCTATGTAGATAACGATATCGCTTAAGGGTCGTATCACTTGCTGAATTCCTGATGTTCATCAACTTATATCCTCAGGATATTGGACTATCGGGCAAAGAAAGCAAATTCCTCGTAGTCACGTTTTTGGATAGATTCTTGAGAACAGCATCGATGGTTGTGGTGATCGTGGCTCACGAGTCAAAGGTGTCCCACGATATTACTTCTTCAATACAATAAACAGGTTCAAAATCGAAACTTAAGAAATCGCCGGAACAGGTCTTCGGATAAACACTCAAAGTTATTCCAGCTTGTGAGGTTGGAAAGAGCTAACGAATTGTAATTCGTTGTACTTTCGGACTTTCCTTATACTTTCGGACTACAAGCTTCTGCGAGACAATGATTCGCATCATCATTTGGCTCATGAAACGCTGGATACTACAATGTACACAATACCAGAGGTCTTCTCATTATACTTGCGCACCTGACATTTCACAAATCTCAGAGTCTCAGATACAAAATTAGATGCTGATCTGTAGGAAATCACATATGTGACTTAGCCATGAAAGCTGCTGCACTCAGATTTCAAGTACTCTCCACTCAGTTGCGGTCCAGCTAGAACCTATGAATGGTTGAGCTACGCGCTTGATCACCAGAACCATGACTTCGGGAAAGTTTTCAGATTGGATTCACACTTTCACTTGACATATGTCCGCCGTTTTTCTTACAACTCGTGACTCTTCCATCTTTCGTAGCAGGACACATTGTCTCGGAGTAATCGTAGAATGTGGCCTTACATTCTACTCTCAAACCTTGCACTGGCAGCGTGCGTGCATCAACTCAGCAGAAAAAACAGAATATACAGCGGTCAGGCAATCTATTTTCCTACTGAAAGCAACCCATATCTTCATCTTCCTTTCGCCATCTGAAACTACCACGAAGTTGCTACCTGTCTCATAGCAAAGCGCGAGAATGTCAAAATGTATATCCAAAATGACTTTAATGACGCGACCGTCACAAATGTTCAAAACCGTGTCAAGTGGCAATTTCGAAGTCATCAATAATGCGGAGAATGCAAATATTGCGATTGGAGACCAGTCGAAGGATATATCGGATTTCGAATCAATTGGAGATAAAATATGCTGAATTCTACTGGAAGTAATACTGGTGGATGGAATACCAAGATTCTTAGACTCGCATCTCAAAAATGCTAGATATGGAAATCACATGATTCGCAGGTTAATCAATCACTTTCCTGGTCATGGAAACTTGTGATTTATCCTTCTGACGTCCAAGCACATTTCTCTCTTCAATGACTGGTTGATCGTAATGCTCGTAGCCGAAGCCGACTGCCTGGTGTTGAACAACAGTTATTTGATCTCATCGCGTATAACAGCAAACTATGTCCTTGATTAATAGTGGTCTTAGACCGCATGTCTCTGAGATATTCTGGGGTTCAATGACTTGGTAAGCGGGTAGTTGCCCAGTGACTGCTACATATCATTGGAGTCAGCTCGGCAACTCGCTCCCCGCGACGATCCCATGCTCTAGTATGATGCCTCACCTTAAATACGATTATCCGTAGATTCAGTTATCTTCCACCATCGCAGCTGATGAGGAGAAGTGCAATCAAAGACCCGAACGACTGCCATTTTCGCTGGCGCCCACCTAGGTATCAAGTCACTCGTAGGAATGTCAGCAATCGGTAACTATGATATATTCTATCCCAGCAGAGCGAAATGCGTAAGCCACGAAAGATCTCTAACTCGAACCGCGGCTTCTCAACTAATATTCGATCGGATCGAAGATGAGTTTAAGGAAGGCAACTTTTAGATGGCGTATCGCATGTGCGAGACGGCGTTGCAAGATGCGTCACTTCCGTACTATTATCGCGGCCACTACCATTCGCTGTTGAGCTCAAATGATGAAGATCGTGTAGGCATACTGCCAATGGATATCACAATAGATTTTTGCTGACACGCAGCCTAGGTTGGGCATTCATTGGAAGGACTTTTAGCTTTCGAGTATGTCATCATGTCAGATCAAGATATAGCAGATCGATACAGCTCGATTGCGAGTACAATCAATCTTTAGCCTTCACGTGGCAATTTCTTTCTTTACAGGAACAACACCCATGTATTATACAAGAGTGAAGTGTTAATTTTCAGGATATGACATTTACTGTTACAAGGCGCAAGCTATGGGTCTCTCCTGGTGATCTTGCAATTGCCCAGTATGCTTTGCAAGCTCGAGAGATGCTCGCTGCAGCAAGGACCCCGGGTTTACCCTTGTCTACTTATTAGCTTTTGAGACTTGTTGCTTTGCGAAAGCTGTCTTACATCTCCTAGCTCCTTTTGTGTACTCTTTAAGTTTTCGTTACAATCAACGCGTTTTGACTAGTAGGTTAAAGTATTAGATTTGAGCGTTATAAAGACAGTCTTGGACCGGGTTTTGTTTTAGATCGACTAAATCTAGCACAGAGCTTTTGTGACTTTCTAGAGCCTTCCGAGCTTCTTCCTTATAGCCCTATGTGTCTTCTGTAAAGTAATATCCTTAAGGTCTTTCTCTTTCGCATTTCTTATAAATATTTCTCGTGCAAGATATTTTGTTCCCAGTAGATCTATCGAAAGGACTTGATACTTTGGTCTTTCTCAAACGCGTCGAAAAAACTGTATTCGCTTTCCAGTATTAGAACTGCGTTTTTTTTTTAGGTTTAGAAGAAGTAAACTTATCCTTTGCGCCTTTACTCGGGGATACACTCGGACGCGTTTTTAGACAGGACAGCGGGAATAAGCGAAAAGACAGCCTCTTTTTGTGAGAATGAAATATCTTTATATAATAATTATTAAATGTCTATAGTAGATAGATCTAAGGACTAGAAATATCTATTTATATTCAAATAAATCATTAGTCGTATGATTTTGAAAATCCGAGTTCTTTTTAGGGTATACTTTAGGCCGAACCTCTGTGTTCTATCTATAATAAATAATCACTAAATAATAATTGATTAATTTTTCCTAATACTAATTATCTAGGATCTAAAGTATACTTCGTACTTTCATCAGAACTAAATAGACCTTCTCTATAATTATAGTATAGTATAAAATCGAGTTCTTTCCCTTTCGATATTATCTCTAATAAATTTCCTCTAGTTTTCGCTTACTCCTACACTTGGCTAAAAACGAGACCAAATAGGTGATATATTCGTAGATTTAGATATGAATGTGGGAGAGATAAACAGGGTGTCTAGTTTTAGGAGGATTGAAATTAACACGTTCCTCGGCCAATAATTAGCGTGGTAAACGAATTCTGTCACCCACTGGTGGTGGTACGATCAAGGAACTCGAAGTTTGAACATTCGGACGCACACGGGCTCTGTGTGTGGCCTTTCAGATATGCATGCGTACGCTCTAGTCGGGGCCGAAGTATTTGCGAATTAGTCCGGGGTCCAAGTATGATACAGGCATTCCTCTCCACCAATTGAAAAAAGCCCCCGAAACATACATATGCACTCTTCTAAAAATCCAAAAAAGTCCAAAAACATATCCGCGACCACCAGGGGACTCGAACCCCCAACCTCAGTCTTACAGCCTCTCAGCAGTAGGAGGACCGCGCGCTACCATTGCGCCAAGCAGCCGATTGCTATCGGAATATTGCGTTTCGTTCGCGATATTTGGCGACGTTTTCACCCCTCCATAAGCGACGTTGCCTTATTTCGTTACAAGAAAGCTTAAACACTACTCGCGCCATTTGACAGCATGTAAGCCAATGAACTGTCTACGGTTCTCCGGAGCCCCAGCTGTCCCGCTATGATTTCTTGTTAGCCAATCATAGTAAACGATTTAAATCTGCACCGATCCAACCTTCAGATTTGCGACTCCTCTGCTGTAAACCTACTTCCGCTTCCTGTGAGGACTTGATTGAATTTGTGCACTTTACGACCATGCATATTCTACTCAATGCAGCGATTATCTGTAAGATTGAACCATCAGTCCTTTCGACCAAGAGTATATATTTTCTAACTCTCCCAGAGCAGAAGAATGTCTTATCCATTGCTGTGGTAGGGGTTCTTGAAAAGCTCATCAGTAGTTGTAGCATTTTTGCTGAGGTGCATGAACGTTCAAGTCCAAACACGGAGAATGGGCTGAAAACCTTCGCAAACTACGTTGCTATTTGGATTTAGCAAGTATACTGGTTTAATCTGATCATCATCAAGCTCAAGAGAAGTAAGAGGCTTCATTACCTTGCAAGCTGTGGGAGCACGAGTCGTGTCGCGAGACGGGTCTTTGATGTCAACAATTGGCAAGCTCCATATGGAAGTCGAGGTCTTTCTCAACACCACACGTCGTAGAATGTCGATTGGATCTCTTATTGCTTTACCTGAGTACCTGGACATGGAAATATGGTACCATGAAGTGAGGTTGGAAATTTTCCTTATTTCTCATTGCAGAACCGCGCGACTAGGCAGAAAGCCTTTCATATGTAAGCCTAAGAACCGTCATTTCCACCATTTTTTGACCCCTCAGGCCTCCTTAATGACACTAGGGACTTGCTTACACGTTCGAGGTATTCCATACGCCATCTCCCAGCCAAGTGTCCTCCATACTCCATCGCTTAAAACGCCACAACGCCGTTCTTACCTGCTGAACGTAACATCTCATCTGTCTACGAAAACTCAATATGGCGACGCAAGTGTTTGTCGATGAGAGTTTTACTGGCTGTTTGTCTTCGAGGCCCCCACACGCTTGATGGGACGTTCAGGAGAGGACAATGGAGTTCTGGCATAACCACGTAGCTCTGGCTCCTTGAATGTAAGCTCTGGGTTCTCGACCATTTCGTTGTGGGTATACATGTGGTATTCTCCAGTGACAGGATTGCGTCCGGGAAAGACCTCATATGAACTTTACAAAGATTAGCAGGAATTCTCAAAGACAGACCGACCTTACTTACACATCCAGCACCAGTAGCTCGCTTCAGCCATGTACTGAACATACGCCTGTCCATGATCTCCAAACCGCTCCCAGCTTGATCTGAGGATTTCATCCATCCATCGTCGAGTTGCTCCTGGCTGAAACCTGCCCTCAGGGCCTTGGCGGCGATGAAAGGTTCGAGAGAGGAGTACTCGTTGAATCTAAACTCGAGAACCTTGGATTCGAAAGGGCTAAATTTGATGCCACAATGCAGAGATGATGCAGTAAGAGCAGCAGAAATGACATTCCTGTTATTCTCCTGATTATTGGTGCTAGATGGCGCCAATGTTTCCGTTGCCAGAGTCATCTGGGATGTGCATTAGTATTGGCTTGAACAGGAAGTTGAGGGGTGCTAATGATAACAGAATCTGGGGAAGGTGCAAAATGAGAAAGCACAGAATTGAATTGGCCGCATTTGACTGCAAACATAATTATTCAGGCAAACGATCATCCTCTTCCCCCAAGGTTGACTTGGGTATCGGATTCATCTGGTGGAGGGTAGAGTTCAACGTACCTCCAATTTCCTCTTCTACTTTAAGCGATGGATCCGTATCCTGAAATTTCCCACCATCTCCAGGGCTGGGATTGAACCAAGCCCATTGAACTCCGTTGGTGATATTGTTCCAGCTATCATGAAGAGAAGTATTAGCCTTTGAAATCGAGGCGAGAGCGTTTGATTCGAGAATAATTTGGGCACCTACCAGAAAGTTCCAGGTGTACTTGACAGGGCGACCACGGCATTGCCATACTTCGGAACCCAATCGGTCTCCTTCTCGTAGCTCAGCAAACGAGGTAAATTCACTCCAGGAACTGCGAATTTATTAACGAAATCTAATGTTCAGGGTTGAAGACCAACAAAGAAACCGGACCCAGGATCTCAAAGCCTTTAGCATAGCCTCATCTTCTGGGATGTCAGGCATACACTCGATGACTTGCTCTAGAGCACCCTCGAAATGCATCAGCAGTTCAGCATCGGTCCAAAGGTGCACCCTCTGAGCCTTGCGATATATCTTAACGAATCTTTTATCATAAGGAGCAGGCATCTTGTCCTGATTTGTTCTGATTAGGGGGATGATTAGGTGGTTTGTTAGTGGTGTTTAAGAATGATGCTCGAATATATCTAGGGAAGAAAGAGCTTCGAGAGGAGATGGGAGATATGCGTGTCTGAAGACGCTAGTTCGAAAGGCCTTGTGGCCTGATTTTGTATGGCCTAACTTAGTTGTGGTGAACTGCTAGCCTGATGTAAACAAACAGAAGCTGAAGTGCTAAGCTCATTTGTCATTTGAGATGTATAATGACGTTTTCAATAAATCTAATCTTTAGACAATTATATATATATATATAGCACCCAGAAGATATTATACTACTTTTAAATGATCTAATTTCTTTTAAACAAATCATTTGGCATCTGCACACCAGCTACCTGTAATTTTGGATTGCCGCTCATTAAGCGAGAGTTGGGCCGATTAGTCAGCACTATTTATTCCCTTTGCCATATTTTGGCATTTCCTGTGTGCTTGTCAGAAAATTACCAAATTGAGAATAATCGAGTAGATAATTTTAGAAGTGAGCATAAATTATATTCCTACTTGCCTTTCCTGCATCCAGATAGATTCTTCACGGGCAAATCAAGTCATGATGGTCGGCAATCTTCGCGGAATCGAAAGCTTCTCTTCTCTACGAAATTGATACAAGAGCAGGAGTGCTTTCTTCATGAACATATACTAGGAAAGGGCTTGACCTTCATTGCATAGTTCACCAATGCTTGAAAGTTGACTCACCAAGGCCCAGCCGCTCCTTCCTTGCATACTTATCTACTCCAACCATTTATTTGGATGTACTAAATTTGCTGAACGTAAAGTTTGGCTGATGGCTAAATATCTATCAAACTATTAACACTTATGCTTTGATTTTATCCATTTCCAGGGCAGTGTCTTTCGAGACTACGAATCGCTCAGATAAGGAGGATTAGCGTTCTCACGCTCAGCGATGGGGCCTTGTATCACAAATTGTACTAGTATTCTGATATTCTTGCTGGGCTTCATGAATAGGAGGTCTGGCAGACAAGTTGGTTGAAAGGGGATCGTTGATAGGTGTTCTCAGCCTTGTTTGTCGGATGCTTGGAGTCATGATAGGGCGATGTTGGACTGTGATCGGTCTATTAGAGGCGCTGCTACATAATCTTGAATTTTGTTTGAGTTGGTGCCTGTGGGATATCTGCTAGAGCTTTAGGTACGATGGAATCCCGGACACTTGGCGCAATTCGGACTGTGCCTTCATTATTTGTGGGCGAATAGCTTGAGGGGGCGGGAATTCCAGCTCGAAAGCAGTCGACCAGTCCCTCAGTCCCTGGGTTTTCTACCGATCATTTTTTCGCCGATAACCATAGGTTTGTTAGCTGCTGAGTTTTTTTCCGGAATTGTAATAGGAGCGCACATAGAAATTTGAACCATGAGAATGCTGCCATTTCATTGAATTCCTCTAGCCCTGTATCACGAGCAGAGTCATTCAGAAGTAATAGCCGTTTTCGAGCGTCAATCCAGGAAGTGCAGAGGAGCGAGCATTCATGGCCTTGTCGAAGAGCTCTCCAGGCAACGACTGGCCACTGAGGGTCAATGTCTTTGATGTTGTGGCAAATAATTTTCGTTGATGGAAGGAATCTTTTAACGCAAACAAACCCTCGGGGCATCTATCTTCTGAAACTGAGTTGATTTATTAGCTATCCTATTCATTGCTTGGTCCCAGTCTTTCGACTTACACAGGTAAACCCACTATTTCTTCTCTGCCGTAAAAATCCGCTGCTGATGGGTATCTTGATGCCTTGTCAGCAGCTAAGCTTCCTCCAGGTCTGTCCAAGACCACAGAACGACGCGGCCACTTATACTCCCGATGGAAAATTGTCTCAACCTGTCACGTCTGCGCATGACGAGAGCGAAAATAGCAAAGCTATGTTTTGGTGACCATGGTTCTTGGCAATGCGGAGTCATTAGTAGATCAGGAGTTGTTGCTTGTAATGAATTGAAATGGTGCTGCGCAGGGAGAAGGTGTGAGTGTGGGTTTCAAAAGAAGAGAGGAGCTTGTGGTAGTAATGATCCTGTTTGTGTACAGAGTAGCAAAAGCATCTACCCGTAGCGTCTCTGCCGGATGTCCCCGCTTACAGGATCTGATTATTTCCTAGGACTGATGCCGAGACATGGAATCGGATGCGGAATGTTTGGAAGCGGCTGAGATCACTTTTAATCGGCAAGAACAATGTACTTGAGATTCCTGTTTGCGATGGCATGCCCTTTTTTTTTTGGCTCCATGGTCATCTCAGATCACAATTTAGTGATGTTCTACCAGTCGGCTATGCGACCGATCTTGCCTTCAGTACCTTGAGCTGGGTGAGCAAGTCTAGCAAGTAATATTGGTGTACTTTATGTGCGTGTATAGGAGGTGCAGGCAGAGATTTGCACGAGAAAAAAAAGGGTTACTTCAAAAATATCTTATTTCGTGTCTCATAGCTTCCTGGCGGGAAAACGCAACGCATTCATGCCTCTTCTGGTATCAACCTACTCAAACATTCGTCACCATCGTATCGTCCCTCGGAATTCAGTGCCACCATAACACCCGCCTGGTATCGATTGCCCAATTATCTGTAAGCTTGCTTATCATCCTCCCAACATTA